CTGTGACAGGTCCTAGCAGTTTGTGCAACTGCCGTTTGTCAGTGGTCAATTGGAGTGCAGTGCTGGCCCTTTTAGTTCCATTCCTGTTTCTTATTGTTTTTTTGGGGAATGCCTATGCTGTCACTGGCATCTTTTAGGTCCCTTTCGCATGGATTGCTTCCTGATCGGAGAAGTACACGGATGTGGCGACCGTGTCCGTCCAGTGATTTCCTCCATCTTGCCATGGAGGAAGGAACTAAAACTGCCAGCCCCATGTTAGTCTATCGAGAGAAGGATGTAAAGGGACGTGTCCATTTACATAAGATTACCCACGATCAGGTCCGGGCAAAACTCTGTTCCGTTTGTTTTTCTGGACCTGGCCAGACCAGGGGTAACGGGATGTAACAGACTTCTGTCCATTTAGACCTGGCCGCCCATAGACTAGTATTGAGCGTCCAATTGGGTCCTTCTGAAAAACTGACAGATGGACCCGGTCGGACCGCCCGTGTGAAATGGGCCTTAGGATTTCCAGTGATATAAAAGCAACAGTGTTTGAGCTTGCTGCCTTCTCCTTTCCGACAGCAACAAATGACGACTGCAGTTGTGATCTACTGCTTGCTGAATACAGTGAACAATTGATCACTATACATGTGCTCTGTTGCTGCAGAGATACATGGGGGTTGGATCAGGCCACCCTCAACTGATACAGACCACAAAGAACACAAAAAACTTACAAAGTAAAGTTAAAGGAGAACTATGAGGTGAGTGCTTTCCACTCACCTCATAGTTCTAGCCGACCTGTGACAATGAGACTGTCACAGGTCGGCTCAGTAGATCGGGAGGTGAGCGAACACATACCGGCGTTCGCTCATTTCTCGATCCTGTCACAGCTCTCTGCCGTGACAGGGGAGGGGCTGGATTCCCCCCTCCCCACTCCGATCATCCAGTGCTGACTAGCGGAATGGATGGGGGAGGGTACAGTTGGCACTGCCTCTAGATAGGGATCCGCTTCAGCGTCTCAGTATACCGCGAGCTGTAGCTTGCGGTAATCTGAGCTTAGGGTGACGGGAGGGCGCTAGTTTGTGTCCTCCCGTTACCCTAAGAAGAACTATGGGGAAAAGCCTTAACCCCATAGTTCTCCTTTTAAACGAATCAATAAAACGTTTAAGATTCTCCTTCTGATTTAATATCCGGGCCCTGCTGAACGCATTAGACACCCTGAATGACATTTGGGTTTATTGTGTGCGTGTCATTCAGCACACTTGTGCAACAGGCCTACACTGTGCCAATTTCTGTCTAAGATGTGACTCATTCTTAACTTTGTGCTGCACTAATAATTGATGCAAACAGGTCCCTTTGACCTTTGTGTGCCACGATGTAATGTCTAAAGGTAAACAAGCTCCCCTAAATTTAAAGGCCAACTTTGATTTTTAGCTGTTGCCACTTTATTCCCATGGAGAAATTATGCAAAAAAAGCAAAACCAAACGCACTGGATAGTTCAAGTAAAACACTTTAATAAATGATAGAAATAATAAAATGATAAAAATGCACTTACAATGAAGTGACTTGATCAGGGCATATCACTAGGTAAACTCCTACCAAGAAGCACCAGAGAGCAGATGTAAGCACACTCTCTAAATAGCCAGCAGTAGGAGAGAGCACATGCTAAATAGATATAAAATGACATATGCTGGAAGAATTAAATGAGTGGGGGAGAAAGGGGTGGGGGGTTGAATGGAGACAGCCACAAGCTACCAACCTGGTAATAAAAAGCAAACGGGAGGAACAGAGTGGTATCCTGGTCAGGGCTGCAACCAACTAATTAATCGAGAATAGTTGTCAACTATTCTCATTATTGATTAGTTGTTTGGATCCCCTAAGCTCACTCCTTCACACTGGAAGGAGGGCACAGCAAGCAGTGGGCGGTTGCAATAGCCAGCCTGCTATTGGCTATTTCAATTTGAAATGGCCAATAACAAGATGGCTATTGCACCAGCCCACTACCTGTTGTATTTACTATCCGCTGCCATCTGCGGAATCTTGCCACTGGCAGCTGTCATTCCCTGGCTGAATTTACTCAAGCGCTATGTGCTTACAATACAATTATTGACAAAAAACAAATAATAAAAGGTGGGGAAAAAAAGTCATTTTCGGCTTTGGGCTGACAAATTCTGCTGCGGGAGGAGCGCTGCAGTGCCATTCATTTCAATAGGACCCCAAATGGGCCTCCCTCCCACCCACAGTGTTATCACCCCCACTGGAACGCACCGTACCACAATGCCGCGTGTGTCAATGCAGTGCAATTGAAAAACATTGTGCCTGCAGTTTTTTTTTCTGAAGAAAACTTTGTAACACTGTATTTGTGTATTTTATTTTAAATCAATAATTGGCCAACTAATCGATTATGAAAATAGTCATTAGTTGCAGCCCTAATCTTGGTTGATGTAGTACCTCCACAGTACTTACATGTTTCAGTGCCGTGTCCCTTCCTTGAAAAAAAAAATCCCACTGATGTTGTATCTTTGTATTCAGAGAGCTTTGGCTATTATATTTTATGATAAACATAGTTTTGTTATGTAAATTCTGCATTGTAAAAAATCCCTGACAGAGCTCAGCGGATAAAAGCAATCACTAGTATGTAGGACTCCCCCCCCGTGTGTTTAAACAACTGAATAAAGCATTTAGAATAATGTTAACAACTGCAAAAGTAAAGTGCTTTTACTAGTCCTTTTTTCTTCCCCCCTATAACTGCCACGAAAGCCAAAAAAAAAAAAAAATCGCTGCTGAACAAAACCCGATATTGCCCACTCTGCCAAACATTCTGTTAAAGCGGAACTTTACCCCCTTTCACTAAACATCACAGCTCTGCATGCTGATATAATTTTCCTCTTACATTCGTTTAGTTAAAAATGTTTTGCTTATAATTATTGTTTTTGTTTCACTTTTGTTGCCCATGCCTAAGGGTTGCATCCTGGGAAGGTTACATCAGCAGTGCATTCCTGGGAAATCTCATCTGTAAACTGCGAAATCTTGCAAGATTTTTTTGGGGAAAGGCACTTCCCCCCCTGAGATGATGTGCACTGTCACATGTTCCAGGAAGAAAAGAGAGATACATTAATCTGCCCTTAGCAAAAATGGCCACTGTGAAAAGTATGGGGGAGAAAAAAAGAGATAATTGCAGGCTTTTTATTCTTTGCATTCCATATTTTTCTAAGCACCTGTTTGTACATTGCCATTACCAAACATTTCTGAAGGTGCCTTTGTTGTAGTTTTAAAGTAGGGATGCAGAGATACCGAGTATTTTTCGCCCAAATGCTGCGATACTTGCCTCCGATACTGGAACTTCTGGTCAGAGGGAGACCGCCCTCTGACTGACAGTGCCGAGGGGAGCATGGAGCTGGCTTCCTTTCCAATCAGGAAGCCGGGTGGTGGGTTATTACCTGCCTCCCAGCTTCCTGGTTGGCTAAGAAGCCAGCTTCACTTGTTGCTAGGCAGCCTGGCTTCCTAAGCAATCAGGAAGCAGGGTGGCACGTAATGACCCGATTCCTGATTGGTCAGGAAGTCATGCTGCCTAGTAACAAGTAAAGCTGCCTTCCCAGCCAATCAGGAACCCGGGAGGCGGGGTCATGACATGCCCGAGTACCACATGACATGCCAGAGTGTATCACTCAGCTGTAGATCCTCATATCATCTCTGAATTGGTGCTGGCACTGTCCTTCCTTCTGGAGGGTGGCTACTTTTGTTCCCCCATGGTCCCTGTGTGTGTTGTACAGTAGCCACCGCTCCAAGCTCCCTCCTGTGATGGACTACATCCCGTGATGAACTACTTTCCCCTCTCGTTCTTTTTTTGTTGTGTTCTTCTGGCTTTGGCAGTGCACATTTATTAGCACAATGCTGTGGTTTTATAAATGTGTGGCAGACCATATCGCTGCTTTCTGTATGAACCTCTTTATTTGTGTCACAGCATTAAATGTAGAGATCTGTAGGTTTTCCAGTAGAGGCAGGGATGTGTAGTCCGTACGATCGGTCTCCATTCGTGTTGAGAGAAGTAATTGGTCCACCAAGAAGTACATGAGTTGATCAGCACATAGTGGCTCATTTAAGAAACACTGGTACCGCTGTTGCTTTTAAAAATAAAACAAAAAACTGGACATGTGTATATAGCACAGTGATGTCAGAGTTCTGAAGTTAGTGAAAAGCAAAAGAAATGAATGGCAGGTCTGTTTAAAAAAAAAAAAAGCCCCAAAATGCTGTCAGTTACATGATCGGCTCTCCTCCAGTCACAGAGCACTTGCTGTTCCACTGAGCAAAGAAGGCTCCATGGGGCTTTACTAGCTACACACTGAGGCCCAATTTTTAGGCATAAGATTGCTGCAGTGATGGCCATATCTGCTCTTCATTATGAATGAGCCCCATAGACTTGTGAGTACAAACACTGGAGTAGAACTGACGTGTAGGACTGCAAAGTAGGAAGCCGGCCCAATGTGGATCCACCCATGTAGATATATAATTGCACATAGAATTGGAGTTTGTAAAACATTGGGGCCTGTTCAACTAAACGTAAATCCCAAGCAAAACAAAATGAGAAAAGAAAGCACTGGAAGGCATCAAAAATGCGCATACACACATTTGCAGAAGCATATCCAGGTCTGGTCTGGAGTTGGTATGAACAAGCCCTAACAAAAATGAATATTTATAGCCAGCTGACCTATTTATTATACTTTTTTTTTTTTTAAACCACTAACATGCATGTCCTGTGTTCCTCCTAATAGCACTTCTATATCGCATGATTGCTTATATTTTGGCTATAAATGGTGGAAACATCAGATTATGACTGGAGTTCAAACTTCAGTCTTCTCTTTTTGTATTTTAGATCCATATTTTTATGTTTTGATGATTTTTGACTTCTGACAATTGTTCTGTGTACAACAGACCTAAATATTGAGTTTCAGGGTTGAATGTTGTTGTTTAGCGGTAGTTATTGCTTCATAAAATAATGAACATTTTTATTTTATTGTAGGATGGTTGGAACGATATTGGTGTGCTTAAAAGAAAAGATCCACACAGTGTAAATGAAGAAGAGAAAACTCAAAGCTTCAAAACCCTTCCACCGGGTAACATTTGATTTTACTGCATGTGATTTACTCATTTTTATTAATATTACAGTTTTTTGATTTTCTGTTTTGAAAGCTTTCATTGAAATTTTATAAACTGTTTGAATTTTTCTTACATTTTTAAATAACTTCAGTGTTCTTTTAACCACTTGCCGTCCGCCCGTTGTAAAAAAACGGACGGACGGCACTGCTGCATTGGCGGGTTGCCGTCGCCAGACGGCATTTTTTTTCTGCTCGAGCGCGCGCCCCCTAGCGTGCACGCACGGGCAGAAAAGACCCGACCAATGCAAACACCTGGTAACGGGTGTTTCACATATAGGCGATCAGCGGCTCCATAGCCCGCCGATCGTCTATATGTGCTCGTTTCCAGCGGCCACCGCCGGTCCCCCCCACTGACCCCTCAC